AATAAATTTAGAACTGATATAAGTTTATGTGGCTGTGAGTGTAAGGATGATGGTGATGGAGTTAATGTTGTTGATAATGCATCTGAAGGGAGTAATTATGCAAACAAATTGACATATGATGATGGTGATGTAAATGCTGGAGATCATGTAACAGGAGATCGACACCCAGATGTTCATGTAAATATGGACGATGATGATGATGCAAGTGATGGAGATAAAGCAGCTGAAGGTAGAGTGTTAGCAGCATGTGAATCTTTAGGTGTTGCTATGTGCTCTGATGAGGATAGTGATGATGAAGAGTATTTCCTAATGGGTGTTAGCTCATCAGATGATGATCTTACTGATGAAGAACATGCTTGTAATGATGATAAATACCTTCAGGCCAGATAAAATTTGAGAAAATGTAAAAACAAGATGATTGAAGAAGATGGTAGAGCAAAAAATACATTCCAAAATTGTATGGCTCAAATGGACATGGATGGGTGTGAAGTCCTAAAACATGCTCTCACATCTTAGGAGTCAGGTAGTGAGATGGAGATGGATGATGAGGGAAATTGCATTAAAAGGAAGCTGAGGGTAATTTATGATCCTATGTATGATCATAATGCTCTTCAATTTGTGCTTGGTATGAGATTTGAGAGTGTTGGGTATAATTATCCAAAATATAGAACTAACAAAAGGTAGTTGGAGGTAAGATGTGAAAAGGGGTGCCCTTGGAGATTATATGCAAGTGCAGTTACAAGGGAGGGCACTGTTGTTGTAAAGAAATTCCACAAGGAACACAAATGCCACAAAAATGTCCACAGAAATCCTAACATGACAATTTCTCAATTGGTAGATGTCATTTCTGACAAATATGCCAATGAACCCAAATGAAATCTTTACAGAGCATAGTGGACAACAATGGAGATGCTTAGGGGTTCTGTGTCAGAGCATTATGCTACATTGAGGAGTTACATGTTAGAGTTACAGATGGTTGACATAAAAGGAAAGTTTGAGTTTCTTTTGGGTGACCATTCTACATTAGGGCATTCTATGTAGGGTTTAATGCACTGAAAAGGGTTTTTTTGATTAGATGTAGACCTATTTTAGGTCTTGATGACTACTTCTCAAAAACATTCTTTAAATGAGCATTACTATGTGCCACAACAAAGGATGACAATAATCAGATTTTTCCTGTGGCTTGGGCTGTTGTAGAAGCTGAAAATGAGGAATGTTGGAGGTGGTTCCTGATGATTTTATTTTCAGAGTTCGAAATAAGAGATGGTTTGGGTTACACATTTATACCAGACCAACATAATGTAAGTTATTCACTTTATATAATGTTTACTTCTTTTTCTATATGTATATTAAATTTAATCTTAATTAGTTCTCATTTTTACATGGTCTTCTAAATGCATTAAGAGATTTGGTACCTCACGTTGAGCATAGGAATTGTGCTCGACATGTGTATATGAACTGGAAGAAAAGCTTCAAGGGTGAAGGTTTGAAGTTTATTTTCTGGAGGATTGTTCTGAGCACTCATATGGATGACTACAACATTGCATTGGGAGATTTGAAGGCTGAAGATCCCGATTTCTGTGATGACTTCATTGATAGATCATCTAAATTCTGTAAGGCTTTTGTTTCTCCCTAACCTAGGTGTGACATGATAGAGAACAATGTCGGTAAGACATTTAATGGCTTTATTGTCAGAGGTAGAGGGCAACATATCATTGAAATATTTGAATTTGTGAGGAGTGAGTTGATGAAAAGAGAACATGGGAAACTTATAGATTTTAGTGGTCTTACTGAAAAAATTTGTCCTCGAATAAGAGCAAAGCTAGAGCAGAACAAGTACATGTCCAGAATTTGTGTCACAAACCCTGCAGTTGGAGACAAATTTCAGGTTGCCTATGAAGATGATCAATTTTTGGTTGACTTGAGAAATAACACATGTACTTGTAGACAATGGGACATAACTGGAGTACTATGTGTACATGCTTTCTCAGCCCTACATTTTCAGCACAAGGAGCCAGCATACTTTGTTTATGAGTACTTCCCGGTTGAGAGGTACTTGATGATGTACACCAACTCCTTAGAGCCACTCAATGAAAAGAAGTTGCGGCCACTTGCCCAAGGTTACCCAATCCAACCACCTCCTTTCAAGAAAACACAGGGATACCTAAGAAAAAAAAAAGAGCTCCAGAGAAAGAGTTGAGATGTGGAACTAAGTTGAGAAGGTTTGGTTTAAAAATGATTTTTCAAAGGTGTTTCCAGAAGTGACATAATAAGAAGTCTTGTACTAAGCCCCAAGTTGAAGACCTCCTAAGGTCAAATATTAGTTCATTTTAGTTTTTTTTTTCTTTTTTTTT